GAGAGACAGACAGTCAGACAGACAGCTGAGAGACAGACAGTCAGACAGACAGCTGAGAGACAGAGAGACAGACAGTCAGCTGAGAGACAGAGAGACAGACAGTCAGCTGAGACACAGATACAGACAGACAGACAGCAGAGAGACAGTCAGACAGACAGCTGAGAGACAGACAGACAGCTGACAGACAGACAGACAGACAGACAGACAGACAGACAGACAGACAGACAGACAGACAGACAGACAGACAGACAGACAGGTTACCTTGAAGAACAGTGGTCTGAATGTGACCTCTGATAGTTTCATCACCATGGTGAGCAGACAGTCGATAACATGACCTTCGACCTCCACCGTCTTCTGCAGATCTCCCTGCAGACAGGAAGTCAGGGGTTAAAGCTCGTGACGTGAACCAATGACGTCTCTGGTAGAGACCTGTCAATCACTGTGTAGCCCCGCCCCTAAAGCATACCCTGCTTTATGGTCTATCAGAGACCTGTCAATCACTGTGTAGCCCCGCCCCTAAAGCATCCCCTGCTTTATGGTCTGTGTGACTCTAAATGGACCATAATGTACTAAATGAACATCATGCTGTATTGAAGAAGACTTGAAACTAGAGATTGAACGTGAGACACATTGTTTACATCAACACCTGTAAACAACAACAACAACGAGGCGTAAACATCGGACTCACCTGACAGTGTCGGGCTCTGAAGTCCAGGGCCACGAGGAACAAGGAGGTGAGCTCTGATTGGTGGAAGTTGAGCTGGTCTTTCTCCATGTGACCGATGTGTTCCTTCAGGATGCTCATCAGCGCCCCCAGCTGACGCTGCAGGGAAACACAGCCGATCAGTGATCAATACCTCCAGCTGATCAGTGATTATGCTTTATGTTATTGACGTATTCAGATATGTTATGTTGTTAGTGAAATGCATTCTGGGAGAAGTAGTTGACTTCTATCCTTCAGCTTCTGTGACTTTCTTTTAAATGAAAGCAGAAGATAAAATAAGTTTTCCTCCAGAACTACGAGAGAGAACCTCGTTGTTTACGAGTGTAGAGAACTACAGGAAGCAGTTCATCTCTACCTTCCTGTCCAGCACCATGCTGCTGTAGCACCTGGTGAGGGTGGGCAGCAGGACCCTGGGGGGCAGCCGGGTGGCGAGGGAGCTCCTGAGGGAGGAGAGACGCGTCTTCAGCTGAGCGGTGGCCGAAGAAGAGGACGAGGAAGACTCCAGCAGACGAGTCAGCCGACACACCTGTGTGGGGTGGGGTGGGGTGGGGGGGGGACAGGAAGTGAAGCGTCAAACACCTGGTGAGGGTGTCGTTTCCTGTGTTGGGGCACGGTGCCGCTCGGGTGAGGCATACCTGTGAGGTGGTGTCCTGCAGGTACGGGCTCATGAAGTGAGGCAGCGTCTCGGTGACGCGCTGCAGGGCGGTGACAGCGCTCAGCAGGTAGATCTCATTGGTCAACAGCTCCTTCCTGTCTGTCAGCGCGGTCAACACCGCCGGCATCAACCTGGGGACAGAACACAGAGGAGTTACTATCAATAATATTCAGAGGTACATATTATATTATATATTATATTATATTTACATACCTCGGTAGCTGAGGGATGGCGAGGGCCTTCAGCGCTCCGACCACCTCGGCGATGCAGAGCAGAGCGCTGCTCGTCACGTTCTTCTCCTCCTCCGTCTTCATCACGATGTCCACCGTCTGCTGCAGCACGGGGACGAACGCCTCCTGGTGGACGGAGCCCAGACTGCGACAGAGCAGCTTGAGGCTGTAGAGCGCCGTCTGTCGGTTGATGGCATGCTCCGCCCCCTGGTTCGCCTCCTGCTCCGCCTCCTGCTCCATCACCTGACAACTACTTTTACCCACAATGCTCAGGAGGTCGCCGATCAGCTGTAAGAGCACAGTGACCTGAGAAAAGAATGATTAAATAATAATAATTAAACTTAAGTAGATGTTATAATTACTTATTAACGTGTGATTCTATCAACGTAACACACTATTAACACATTAATGAATAATGTTACTAAACACAATTCACAATGTAAGAATACAACACAACAACATTCAACTATTATTGATACTTAGTTCATGATGTTATTGACATGTTGAGATATCTTATGTTGTAATCATGTGATTTTAAATCACATTACTTTACATCTAAAGCACATGTTACATTCGCTTAACTAGTTCATGTTGTGAGTTATCAACATATAGTGTTGGATATTAAATCACATGCTGTGCAACGTCACCTGTTGGTCCTCCCACTGAGTGCGGTGCTGCAGCTTGTTGTTCAGCAGCTCCAGAGCTTTCCTCCTGACTGACGCCAGCTCGTTGCCCATCAGCCCCCTCATCACCGTGATGAAGGTGTCCGTGGGCAACAAGGAGTTCACCTGGGCAACAGAAGACCACAACAACACGGTGACCGATGTGCTGACAGGTGACGGCGGTAATAACACACATCTGAGGGATCCTTGTATTCAGATAGATAGATAGACAGATGTATGTATTGACCTTATCCAGGACTTCGTAGGCCTTATTGAGTAGAACCCTCCAGAACTTGGCGGTGGGTTTGTCGGCGTTGTCCTCCACACAGCGAGCGACGCCGTGGATGTAACGCAGGATCTCCTCCAGCAGCCTGAAACACCAGCGACCCGTTAGCCTGCTGCTTCACATACAAACTCACCTTTAAGGTGTCACTTTAAACTCACCTCTGCTGCAGAGACTCGTCCACAGCGTCTCCTCTGTCTGCCACCTGAAAACAGACCACCACATGTTTACATACGCTACAGAACACTTGGTATTGTGAACGTTGCCTCGGAGACGTCGCCCACCTTCCCAATGAAGCCGACCGAGCCGAGCAGCTGAGCCATGAAGGAGACGGAGAGGAACTTGAAGTGTCTCAGCTCTTTGCTGCTGTGAGCCTCCAGACTGAAGATCAGCTCCTCCACCTTCTCCTCCTCCTCAGCCTTCTTCTTCTTCTTCTGGGGTCCCGGCCGGCGCTTCACCGGAGCTGCAGAGGACGGACACATCCAGAGACTTTAATGTTTTCTTCTTCTTAAGCCTAAATTCAGCCCTAAAGGACATGTTATTTGTAGTGTTGATGAGCTCCTCACAGTCGTCTTTGTCGTCGGACAGCTGCAGGAGGAAGGTGAGGATGTTGATGAGGGAGGTGAGCTGATCGCTGACCTCGAACTCACAGCAGAGAGAAATCCAGAAGTCCACGTCTTTCTCCAGAGCTGCATCCTAAAAACACATCAAACACACTTTTTATTTCCTGCTGTGGGATCAGTCGAAGCTGAAAATGTACACGTTGATTCACAAGTTAAAGCCTCAGACTACAACTCCCACAATGCATTGCTGCTACACTCGCCTTCTCGCTGGTGGAGCTAGCGGTCTGCGTGGCGTGCAGCTTGAACAGGAGGAGCATTAGGACCCAGAGGAAGCGGGCGGGGCCCAGCGTGGTCACCAGCTGACTGAGGATGGGAAGACGCCGGTGATCAGGAACGTGAGGAAGAGCGTCAACAAACACGCGAAGAACACGAGTCACCACAGACACCACGTGAGACGAAGAGCTGCCGTCAGACAGCTGGTGGGCCTGAGGAAGAGGAGGAGGAGGAGGAAGAGAGGCAGGAGGAAGAGAAGAAGAGGAAGAAGGTTAATGAATCTTTCCATCCTGTAACTCTTGGCCTCCAGCAGCTGGTCTCCAGTCTCACCTGGATCAGAGCCGGTATCACCATCTGCACCGTCTGGTCGATGACTCTGAAGCTGTAGGCGTCGTCCAGACGCATGATGTTGGCTCCCATGAAGGTGAAGATGGGCATGATGTTGTGGAGGACTTTCTCCTGGAGGGCCACACACAGGTCAGACCATCATCACTGTGTTCTGCTAGATCATAACAATGCTGGCTTTAGATGAAGACACTCACAGGGAAGATGGCGGCGGCGGCGCCCAGCAGCAGCAGAGCGTGGTGGTGAGTCTGCGGCATGTCGGACGCTCTGATGCACTGAACCACCAGCTCCACGCTGAACTTATCTTCATCCAGCACGTCTGAGGAGGAGAACATGAGGAACAGGCTCAGTTAGTGAGTTCCTGCAGAGGAAACGGTGTTCGTGACCCGTCCTCCCGCCGATGACCTACCAGGACCCACAGCGCCCCCTTCAGGACACAGTTTGTGGCAGATGTTGAGCAGACAGCTGAGCAGCAGCTGCTTGGTGTACTCCATATTGGTGTGATCATCTGGACCCGGCTCCAGACTCCTGAGAACACAACACATGTCAGAACGTCTGGTAGGTCCAGAGTGCTTCATACGACACTGTTTCTGTTTTAATTGATGCTCCTTTATATTCTATTCTGTGCTGCTGTACCACATATCACTTCCTAACCAACGAGGACATGAATGATCACTTAGAGAGCAGGACAGATGTTACCTGGCGAGCAGAGAGAACAGAACCGGCACCAGTGTCTGGGCTCGTTTCAGCTTCTTCTTGTGCTGCAGCAGCTCCAGGATCAGAGTGACTCTGTTCCAGGACACAGCGCCCCCCTGTGGACCGGCCTCCTGAGGCCTCCTGATGGAGACACAAAGTACAACTTGTACAGTTGTGTGAAAAAGTGTTTGCCCCTTCCTGATTTCTTATTTTTTTGCATGTTTGTCACACTTAAATGTTTCAGATCATCAAACAAATTTAAATATTAGACAAACACTTTTTCACACAACTGTACCTCTGAGATGAAGTGGAGTAGAGTATAAAGTAGCAGAAACATTACAATAAGTGCCTCACTATTGTACTTTAGTACAGTACTTGTAAATAAACTTCACCTCTGGCTCATTCTGCTGCGGCGGCTCTGCTGCACCGTCACGCTCACTTTGGGTTTCTCAGGAGGAGCGAGCTCATTGGCCACCAGCTGAGCGTCCAGCGTCAGCTGACACAAAGAACAACAAAAGGTCAGCTGACTAACAGACAGGAAGTGGTGTCTACAGAGGTTGAGGCTGTGCAGCAGCTGGTCTCTCACCCCTTTAAACACGCTGCTGATGGTGTTGGCCACCAGAGGACTCCGGCTCTCCACCAGCACGTCCAGCATCACCGACAGCAGCTTCTGCTGCACCGCCTCGTCTCCAAGGGCCGAGAAGAACGGCCTGGTGATCTGAGACGAAGAAGGGGAAGGATGAAGAGGCAGGATGAAGAGGCAGGATTGAAGAGGCAGGACGAAGAGGCAGGACGAAGAGGCAGGACGAAGAGGCAGGACGAAGAGGCAGGACGAAGAGGCAGGACGAAGAGGCTGATAACTCAAACGCGCTCCTGGTAGATCTCAACACTGACCTGTTCCAGGGCGATGATCTGGCAGCTGGGGATGTCGGGGTGCGGCTGGGTCGAGGTCTTCAGAGCTCTGACAAACAGATCCAAACAGTTCTGGTCCTCGGCCAGCAGGGGGGCCGACGCCTCGTTGTACTTCCCCAGGACGAGGTGCATCAGCTGGGTCTCGGCCCGCAGCAGGGTCGGGGTGTCGGGGCCACTCTGCTCCAGGAGACGATCCAGAACCGGAAGCAGCTCGGACAGCACGGACTGAGAGGAGAAGACACGGATCCACGTGATGAAAACGACATGTTGGGTCAGTTTGCTGATGAGTGTTTACAGGTGTGTTCTTGCTCTCACCTGTCCGTTGAGGCGGCTCAGCGCTTGCAGCAGGCTGCAGGCGCTGTAGGTCGGGCAGCTGGGAGTCTGAACGCTCTGCAGCAGCTGCTGGATCGACGACTGCAGCTTCTTCTGCTGCGCCGTCACTTTAACGGACGAACACTCGTCATGAAGCACGCCGAGAGCCTGCAGCCGCCAGTACAAAGAACAATGTTATATAATGTATATAGATATATATAAATGTGTATATATATTTACTTTTTAAAGGTTTGAAGCAGATAAAAGTTGACACTCTGAAGACACTCATTTCAATAACCTCCACTAACTATTACATGACGGGTCCCTGTCTCGTGTGACTCAGGCTCACCTGGCTCAGGTACGACGGGTCGGCGATGATCTCCTCCGAGGTCTTCAGAAGTTTCTCTGTGATTGGCTGGAAGGGAGAAGCGCCGGTTCCTGATAGGCTGTGCAGAGCGCCGAGGGCTGCCCTCCGGACCTCCCGAACCGGAGAGGTGAGACAGCAGAGCAAGGACGGGACCACTAAGAGACAGAGAGACAGAGAGAGAGAGAGAGAGAGAGA